AGTTTGTCTACCTTTATCAATAAAAAAATCTCTACCGGACAGTCAAATTAAATTTTTATGAGCGTTTGAAATTCAAATTTTTACAACATTGGATTTTCACTCGATTTCTCATGTAGCGATTTCCTTATTTTGTTGTAATTCAAAAACAAATAACTGTAGATACATGAAAATTTCACTGAATGTTTATATTAGCATTTCCTATACACCATACAATTTTGAAAATATTTTGACTCTTTTTGAGCTGTTTATGGACATTTACAGCTTTCAATTTTTTTTAGTTTTTTTTTCTATAAATATCAATAAAGTTTTATCTGTTGGGCCACAAAGTGTAAAAATTTAATACAAGGCTCCTGATATATTGTTACAATATCAGTTGAAAAATATTAAAAATACATAGGCACGATTTTTTTTTATAAGCATTTAAAGTTGGAATTTTGACAAAATTTATCAAAATCTCGAAAATTATCAATCGTTGGAATTAAAAAATTATAAAATGTTCAGTTTTTATAACTAAGAGTTGAAAATTTAAAACAAAGATTCTCTTAAATAATTCATACTGTAACCAAAAAATCTAAAAAATATATAAACACACTTATTTTTTACAGACATTTTAATTTCAAATTTAGACAAAATTTCATATTTAAACCAAGAATTACGATTTTAGTTATTTTGTTGTGATTGAATAATACTATTCGTGGGTACTTGAAACTTCTAAAGTGTACTATTATATATCTATGATAGTATCACGGTTTTTGTTGATGTATAACGCGTTATAAGTATCTAATGGATATTGTGATATGATTAATTTGGAATTTATTATAGGTAAATTTTTTGTTTAATACCATAGATATGTATATAATATGCCTTATACATAGACTGACATACCATCACCGCTCAGAATCGTTTTTCTTATACAATGATATTATATCATTGAATTCAAATTTAATACCATCCATTATACAGTGACCCACTTGTAACCTACTGTACAGCAGAGCGACACCCACTTGCCCACCTTTTTTTTATTGTCCACTGCCCCAACATTCCGATTCATGCAATATTATTGTCATTATGTGGCTGGTCTCAAAACTGCTTTATAGAATCTACCTTTTAATCTCAACGGTATCCATTTGAACTACATAAGAGATGTCTTGTGGAGATACAAACTTCTGTTTTTCAAATGACAACCCCTATTTTATACAGTAAATTATTTAGTGGATAATTTTTCTAAACAGTTTGACGAATCAAAATCAAAATTTGGGCGAGTAGTTTTGAGTTATTTAATTTCGTGTACCATGGATAGGTCAATGGCTTGGAAAATATGGGAGCCATGATGAATTGAAAATTGTAGTAATTAATATTATATTAATACATCAAAATTTATAATTTGTAAAAATGGTCCAATAGTATAATAAACACTGGATCCAATAAGTATTACATCTATTTTATATTTTTGTCAAACCATTAAAATAAAATAGGGGTGTGCATGCTTGGTAAATCACCCTATATAAAATATTAGTGAAATTAATTAATAAATAAAATAATATAATAATATTAAGGGGGCGTGTGAATCGATGCAGATTGATAGATTCGTGGGAATATACAAAGAAGAATAGAGATAAATGTAATATGTATCTCGTCCTGCTCGATCCTTATCCGATCCATTCAAAGGGAACCTTTTATTATATATATATATATATTTATATATATGGGGAACTGCTCAAATATCCAGCCCGGAGCAGAAATATCATATCTTTTAGAGTGTGTGTGTGTATAATAAGTACTCGGAACGTTAGTTTGAAAATTTGGAATTTGTTTTTCTATAGTTTGCGATGGAGGGGCGACGTTCAACAAGCATATAGACTAGGTAGATATATATCTAGAGGCACCTCGGCTGCAGAAGGCGGTGTACCAGTATATATTATACAATATAAATATTAAACTATATTATATTAAATCCCGTCCACCACGTGTATATCGCAATGATCGTGTTTAATCGTTTGCTTTAGGTATACCTATATTGGACCTGCTAACTGCTTCATAGTTACTGCAGTAGATCGCATAATATAATATAATGTTTCTATATACTTACTGTCATATATTCCGATATTGGGTTAGCGTGGATCTACAAAATTAACGTACTTCTATTATATGTTATGGGTGCGTGCCTCCTATTTTAGATTCTGAGCGGAGCGATGAATGTATTGGTTTTACAATGATGTATGTTTTTATATTTTTATATTTTTATATTTTAGATTCTGAGTGAAACGATGAATGTATTGATTGTACAATGATGTGTGTTTTTTTTTTAATTTTTTTTATTTTTTTATTTTTTTATTTATTTTTTTATTTTTGTGTCTGTCATCACGTTTTAGGACAGTAAAAGTGCTTGGATTTTCTTCATCAGTAGCTTTTCTGATAGGAAAGTGAATCTAGTTGGTACTTTGGGGGGTCAAAAGTATAAATTTCCCAATAGTTTTCACAAGCGCCGGGAAAAAACAACATAAAAATTAAGGAAAAACGGGAATTTTTACGCAAAATTGGTTTTCCAAAAAATCGATTTTGGTTTTTGGTGTAACTCTAAAACAAATGAACGTATATACATGAAATTTTCACTGGTTGTTTATATTTGCATTTTCTATACACGATAACATTTTCAAAATATTTTGATTTATTTTGAACTTTTTAGGGACATTTTCATTTTCCATTTTTTTTTAGTTTTTTTTCTAAAAATAGCAATAAAATTTTATTTGTTGGTTGCGAAAGCTTGAAAATTTAATAGAAGGCTCCTAATATGTTGTTTCAAAGGCAGATGCAAAATATTAAAAATCCTTAGTCACAATTTTTTTTTATAAGCATTTAAAGTTCAAAAATTGACAAAATATGGAAAAATCACGAAAATTAGCAAATTATTTTGAGTTAAGAATTCGTAAAAATTTTTCTTTTTAAATCTAAGATTTGAAAATGAAACACAAGATTCCTTATAAGATTATCTACCTTTATCAATAAAAAAATCTCTACCGGACAGTTAAATTAAATTTTTATGAGCGTTTGAAATTCAAATTTTTACAACATGGGATTTTCACTCGATTTCTCATGTAGCGATTTCCTTATTTTGTTGTAATTCAAAAACGAATAACTGTAGATACATGAAAATTTCACTGAATGTTTATATTAGCATTTCCTATACACCATACAATTTTGAAAATATTTTGACTCTTTTTGAGCTGTTTATGGACATTTACAGCTTTCAATTTTTTTTAGTTTTTTTTTCTATAAATATCAATAAAGTTTTATCTGTTGGGCCACAAAGTGTAAAAATTTAATACAAGGCTCCTGATATATTGTTACAATATCAGTTGAAAAATATTAAAAATACATAGGCACGATTTTTTTTTATAAGCATTTAAAGTTGGAATTTTGACAAAATTTATCAAAATCTCGAAAATTATCAATCGTTGGAATTAAAAAATTATAAAATGTTCAGTTTTTATAACTAAGAGTTGAAAATTTAAAACAAAGATTCTCTTAAATAATTCATACTGTAACCAAAAAATCTAAAAAATATATAAACACACTTATTTTTTACAGACATTTTAATTTCAAATTTAGACAAAATTTCATATTTAAACCAAGAATTACGATTTTAGTTATTTTGTTGTGATTGAATAATATTATTCGTGGGTACCTGAAACTTCTAAAGTGTACTATTATATATCTATGACAGTATCACGGTTTTTGTTGATGTATAACGCGTTATAACTGTTATAAGTATCTAATGGATATTGTGATATGATTAATTTGGAATTTATTATAGGTCATTTTTTTGTTTAATACCATAGATATGTATATAATATGTCTTATACATAGACTGACATACCGTCACCGCTCAGAATCGTTTTTCTTATACAATGATATTATATCATTGAATTCAAATTTAATACCATCCATTATACAGTGACCCACTTGTAACCTACTGTACAGCAGAGCGACACCCACTTGCCCACCTTTTTTATAATGTATATAATATATTATTATATGTTGTAGGTCTTCGGGCGCGTCGTGTACAAAATTTTTCGACACAACTCTATTTATTTTTCAATTTTTTTTTGCCATCAGCCGTTGAACCTGCCTATACATAAATCGAAACACACACGAGATTCGGCCCCAGATAAAATACGTGTTTATACCTCTCTTATACCTTTAGTGTAAGTAAAATAATAACGTGTAAGACCTAAACGTATATGATAATAATTATTGTGCAACGAATACCAAAAACACGGCTGATACGTATATTTTACGGTCGTTATTATTACAGAAAACACGAACGCATTATTATTGCGCGTTTGTCGTATCTCCGCGGTTGCGTGTTTCCCGTCGTTTTAAGGACGATGTCCTGCGACGTTCAATTATTAATTATTATAATAGGTAACCAATACTTAAAAAAAAAAAATCAAACCAAACGACGCCATTTACACGATGAAACGCTCTCGTCTCCGATCAACTGGAGCGGCGGCGCGCATGTATAATATTACGATAATATGTGGTCGGCCGGAGGCTACGGCTGCGGCGGTGGTGGTGAGTTATACACATAGAACATGGGTACTTAATATTATTACGTGCACTGTGTGCAATACATTAATACGTTTAATATTAAAATACACGAAATATACAATAATATTTCATATTATATTATTGGGTGTATTGAAAAAGAAAAGAAAAAATGCTCGTACCTACACATAAAGAACCGGCACGAGATTAAAATATAATGGAATCAGTACAGTAAACTACGGTACCTATACATAGTAATAAATAATAACACCGTTGCCGCAATCTCTGCAGCCCGTACAGCAGCATTCAGCACGCTAACGCATCCGTCGTCGTCCCGAATGGTTATATAGGCTGCAGCCGCCCCGTATTGCACACAGCCGACGCACGCGTACACCAGTTTGGAACGCGACAGAAACGCATCACACTAGCGACTGCACTTTGACTGCGCCATCATGCCGTGTCGATCGCGATCGTGTTCCGTCTCGTTGCAGCGGTATCTCGTATTGTCTACCGCGATCTTTGCCGCCGCCGCCGCTGATGCAGTAGCCGCGTCCGTCGGTGATCTGGTGCGCGATGCGCGTTGTTTCGCCAAATGTTACCGTCAGATCGCCGCTGAACAGCCCAAAGTACGTACCCACACGCACCCACTTACGCGTACACTTAAGCCGGGCTCACAGCTACGTCGTCTGTCACGTCGTGTGCCTATTATCGTATTTCGGTTGGCCGTTGTAATAGTAGTGTATCATTCACTACTAAACATCGCATCTACCTGGAAATTTTCAAAGTGCTGTAGAGCTTAACTTGTGGACGCGACACGACAGGCGTAGCTGTATACCAGGCTTAACAGTGTACAAGTATTGCCATTCATTTCATCAATCAATTTTAAAATTTTAAGTATAAATATTTAAGTGTAGGCTTAGCGACCATCGGTCACCCTTAATCAATATACGTACAGTCTAGTAGGGTTTTGATTTAATTACGAAAAACACTATGGGTCCTTACTATGCGTGGCCAGTACGACAATAGCGTATAGTGTTAATGTGAAATAAATACTCAATAGTAATAATGTAATGATAGCCAACAATAATATGATACTATACACGTCCTAAAGCTTTCCCATCGGTAAATACACTTAAGGAAGTGGGCTGACTGAAAGTTTTGTCTGGCATTTAAAGTTACGACACTTATGGCGAGACTGTCGTAAAAACCATCAATCGTCTGACAGTCAGTCCATTCAGTCAGTGACATCATTCGACGAACGAGTGAGGGTGAGAAACGGAGAAAGTGAGGATGGAAAAAAATAATTTTACTATAGTAAATGGTTAAAAATATTAGTCGATATTACTATTATATATTGGTTATAACCAGGGAGTGCATTTGAAAAAAATTCCGTTTTACGTTATTTAGTTAAAAATTTAAAACGTTACACATTTTTTACTTTTATCGTTATTTAGAATTAAAACGTTATCCAATTTTTGTGTTCATCGTTATTCAGAATTAAAACTTTTCCCAAGTTTTGTGTTTATCGTTATTCAGAATAAAAACGTTATTTTACCCAACATTTGCCAACAATTCAGTAAGTAATTTACTACTTAATTTTTTTCAACATCGTTACCAGAAAATTATAATTTATTATTTTATTAATATTTAATATTGGTATAAATGGTATTTAACACCTAGGTGTTTTATGTAATTAAGTTGGAAATTTTAACTGAATAAGTTAATAAGCTAAAAACAAAAATAATTAACTAGTTAAATTGAAAAGTTAAAAAAAAATAACTTTTTAACAAGTAAATGCCCACCTCTGCATTTTCAGTACTGGGGTAGAAATTGTTCTACCCATGATTGCGTTATTTGTTTTAATATGTACCTAATATAAATAGAACAGATGTTTTAACAACAGTATACCTGTATACGAACACTCACAAGAGGACCGCAGTAGTATAGACTACAGAGTAGACAAAGTACAGAGTAAATACAAAATAAGTCCTATACTCTATACTTCTACAGCGCAATTATCGGGGCATCATTAATCATTATTAATAATAATATTATTATTATTATTATTATTATTATTATACTAGGTAATTGCTTTTTATCAATTAAATTTAGAAATTATCAATAACTTCAAAAAAATGCGGGTAGGTAAGGTCCCGGCTACGGAATATAATACAATCAATTCTTAGATTGTTTTCTAAGACAAAAATAAATAACATGAAATAAAATATATTTCTACGAAACCAATATTTACCTAACCTAACCTTACTTTTAAATAAATGGATTTTAAATTTTCAAATAATTTTGTTTTGCGATATTTTTCGTTAAATGATATTCTATAAATTACGTTTTGCGATATTTTTTGTTTAATGATATATTACATATTTTGGTATTCGTTATGCTTTGTTTTGCGGTATTTAATTATTTTTGATTATCGCTTTCCGTTATAATTGCGTTTACAAATTTCAATCGTTATTTGTCAAATATAACGTTATTATAACGTTTGCAAGCCCTGGACTTATAACTATGCTTGTTTGGTGAAAAATACAATGTAGTTTTAGTTACTAACTTAAAGTTATATTGACTAAATAAATATGTACACTAAATATTTCGGATAATTAGATCAACCATGTTATATCTAAGGTAACACATTACATATTGATAATAACCATAATGCATCAACCGAATACATATGGTAACTTTACCTAAGGTGTGTGAATGTCACTATACCAAACCAATATTTTGGTGTCGAATAACCATTTAAATGGTTTTTTAACCACATTTTTTGTCCGTGCAGTATTGGGTAGTAACGTAACGAATATAACGCGATACGTAATTTAGTTAGAATTTTTTCCAAGTACCAAAAATTGAAAAATGTAATAGTAATTAGTTTTGATGAGTAAAGTAGGAATAAAACAAAATAATATACTATACCTAATATTATAGTGACTATGATTCTGAGACACATTATTTCGGTTACATTCGAAGCTCTCAGCGGAGCGTGGGTCACCGGATACCTTTATTCTACCACACTGATGTATTTAATAGGAGTATTGACCATTGGGTATAAATATTTAATTTTTAAAATATTATAGTATAGAAATAAAAATTATGGGACCGAGTTATAATCGTCCTTTTTTATCACCAGATTACTAACCTAACCAGTTGTTTTAGGATTTATGTTTTTACACGTATATTAACTATTTGAAGAGGATAACGTCTCAATCGCATGTGTTGTTTCCATCTTACTAATTAGCAGTGCTCAATTAGCATCATAATTTTTAATATTAAAGTGAATACCTAAGTACTTATTATTAAGCTTAAAGGTAACATCATATTCATGTGTTCGGTGGAAGAGTTTTTTTTTTTTTATATCTTAATTTTCAAATGAGTTATGAGCATATTTAAATTGTGATGTCTTACACGCTATCCAACCCATAGTTAATACTTATTGAGATAATTCTTGAGCAATGCCATCGGCTCCTGCTTACACATATCCATAACTGACAACGGGGTTGATAGTTTCCGATATAATTATTATTTGCATAATTTCGCAGCGATGACGTGAAACGACGAAACTGCACCTCTGTATCCGCAGTGTATCGCGTTAATTTAATACAATTATAAATTATAATATTTTACATACTTGTAAGGTTTACACGATTCAATTTGATGTAAATTAAATGATATCCATTTAGACGGCTGTTCTTTGTCTAGGTTTTCGCCAAAGAGATTTAGTGTTTTTTTTACTTAATGAGAAATTTATGTGCAACGGGTCTTCTCGGGCCTCGTTTAAATAAATAAAATAATAATAATTTATTAAGAAAACTAACTGAGTAAAGTCTAGGGTTATTTAAAATAATTCTTAACAGTTTATAATAATTAGTTATGCTCAGTTGGTATAGGTATGATTTAAAAGCTAAGCCACAGATACATATTCCATAGTTTATTATAGATTTAACTAGTGCAATGTAAATCATCCTAATTCCTAATATTATGAAGATTATGAATTTTAATATTCTAAATTTATAAAATAAATTTCCTATAAAACTAAAAATATAATAGGGTTAGGTGCTCTTTCCATTTAAGATTCTGGTCGAAGATAATTCCTAAATATTTAGTATTGAAAAACATTTTAAAGTATAATATGGCAACTACAAGTATGTGTTTTACCTAAGAAATTGTAGCTATGTAGTGTGATATCTTTAATTTTTAATTTTGAAAATGTAAGCACTAAACATATAATGAGTACCTAATATTATTAAGAAATATGAATAATACTATATTAATATTACTACCATATGGTGCATATAAGTGCGTCATAGCTTATTATTTTATAAGGTTCTCTAGGTATATATTATAGTGTTATGATATAAGTGTTTACTGATTGTATAAGGTAAATAAAAATATATAAATAATCGTTTTTTTTCTTCAAATATTATCATCTCTGAAATAAATTGGAAATAGTAATAGGGTTTTATTAGCTACTGTATACGCATTAAAAAATTAATAAAATGGTCACTGGAAATATCTACCTAAATTACACATATATAATCTTAATTGGGTAGGCACTAAAAAGGGTATAAAATTGTGTTTTATTTAAACTGATATTACTCGTTAGATGTAGCTAAGTAGCCAACCATACTAACTCGAGTATGGAATGATGGCAATAATATTATAGTGTTTCTTATGGGTGTAGTCTGAAAAATATAAATAATTTATAAATTCTCTGTCGTGCTATCGAATTGGTTCTGTTGCTTACTTACTTGTCATAACGATTCAACATGTACGTTAAGTACGTTTAGTACGGTACTAAGCTATTATTTGTGCCTTAACAAGTATCTGTTAATAATATAATTGTTTTATTATAAATCTGTAGTAAATAATAGTAAGTTATTATTATTATGTGATATCAAACAATATCAAAACTCATAATGTCGTGTATTAAGTAGAGTATGGTGGTTGTAACTACCTACATAATAATATTATCATTAATTTAGGTTTTACACAGAATTTGACACGTAAGCATGCAGACTTCACTACTGCAGTTGGTATCCTATAAATTGTAAAATACACTATAGGTACCTATATTATAATACGTCCTCGGGTTCTCTCCTGAAGTCCGATATATGTATCGCATGCTAAAAATGCAAAAACATTGCAGTGTTATGTGTACGAACATAATAATGCGGAATTTCAGAGGAAAGAACCAGTTTTACAGTATACGAACATACAATAGATTTTAGATTTCGAATCACAAAAGAATTTATTTGGAAATCGGTTCATTAGCATTAAACCACAACGTAAAAGAAACACACATATATTATTTATAAATCGTTCTGTTTTCGGGTGAAACCTAACCTAACCTAACCTCAGTGCGTTTATACTAGTGGTATAAATTCTAATTTATTGGTTACTTGAAAAACGAAATACAAATATATCAATTTTTTTTTAAAGTAAATTAACCTACTAACATTTTATAAATAACAATAAATACATACATTATTATGTTATAATAATTATACTTCTAATACATATAAAATACGATTGTAACAAAAACATTGTATTTACATTCAACTAGCCAACACAATTTTTGAATTTGATTTAGAAAATATAATTAAATTTTTTA